CATGTGCACGCTCTGACAGCATGTCAGAGGGAGCACATGTGCTTAGTATACTTACCTTCTGCCTCCCTGCACTTCCTGGTTCTGTGTGAACAGTGCTGATCCTGCGCCCTGTTAAAAAAAAAAATAAAAAAATAAAGTTTATTTAAAATCCCACCCCCTTTACTCATTTTAATTAAAAATTAACCACTTCTACATTGATCAATTGGCAGGGATTACATTTTACTGTCATCTGATTTTTATTTTTAACCCCTGAGGGTTAATTTTTTTTTTAACCCTCAGGGGTTAAATTTATTTAATTAATTTTAAATATTTTTTTAGCTAGCTGGGGTGGGTTGAAGTTAGTGGGGGATTTGGTGTTAGGCTAACTAGGGGTTAACGTTAAAAGTTTTAAAATAAACTTTAAAAAGTTAAAAAGTAAGCTAAAAAAGTTGTAATAACGTTTAAGTAAAAAAAAAACCCTTTACCCAGTCCAAATAAAAATTAACCCCTTCCCTGCCAGTCGATCACTGCTTACAGTGATCAAAATACAGATCACAGTATACTGTGATCTAATTTTTTTAACCCTTGAGGATTAACTTTTATTTATTTTTTAACCCTCAGGGGTTCAATTTATTTAATTAATTTAAATGCATACTGCTAGTTAGGGGATAACGGTAAGAAAAAAAGCTTAGAAAAATTTTAAATCTGTAAAAAAAGTTTTAAGAAAGTTTAGGAAAGTTTAAAAAAATTAATATTATTACATAGTTACACAGTTACATAGCTGAAAAGAGACTTGTGTCCATCAAGTTCAGCCTTCCTCACAAATATTGTTGCTGTTGATCCAAAAGAAGGCAAAAAACCTGGTCTGAAGCACTTCCAATTTTGCCACAAACTAGGAAAAAATTCCTTCTTGACCCCAAAATAGCAGTCAGATGTCTCCTTGGATCAAGCAGCTATTACCTCACTAATTAGAAATTATATCCCTCTATGTTATGTTTTTGTAAGTATTTATCCAATTTCAGTTTAAACATCTGTATGGACTCTGACAAAACCACCTCTTCAGGCAGAGAATTAATAAGCAAAATAAAAAAGTTTAAAAACTGGTTTTTAAAAGTAAAAAACGTTTCAAAAAGTAAAAAAAATACATTTAAAAACACTCATTACCACTACACCTGGGACAAACTAGAGAAAAAATTATCCAACGTGAAGGTTCAAAATATGCCTTTTGAATTACCCCAGGGTGTATTCTTTAATAAATAGTTTGTGTTTGTGGGGAAGTTTCAATAACCAACCATCTAAACTACTCCAAATTGGAACAGGTTAAAACTTCAAAGTTAGAAAAAACTGAATGGCTGCGTCTCAAATGCGCCCCTTCAACATCCACATATACCTGGCAAAGGTACATACGGTGGTATTTTTGTACTCAGACGACATAGCTGAGCAACATATGAAGTATTATACAGTTGAAGCACACATAAGGTTTGCAAAACATACTGTGCAAACTCACTTTGTGTGTCAAAAAGGCAGAAAAAAAATGATTACCACTACACTTGGTACAAGCTAGCGGAAAAATGATCCCACGCTAAGGTTCAAAATATGCCTTTTGAAATACCCTGGAATGTCTTCTTTAAGAAATGGTATGGCTTTATGGGGTATTTGGATTATATGGCCTGGTAAAATACTCTATAATCTGACATGGGCACAGCGTAAAAATGTAAAGTTTGAAAAAAACTGGAATGGCTGTGTCCCAAATGTGCCCCTCCGATGTCCACATATACCTGGCAAAGGTACATACGGGGGTATTGCTGTACTCAGCCGACATAGCTGAGCAACATATGAAGTATTATAAAATGGTAGCACACATAAGGTTTGCAAAATATACTGTGCAAACTCACTTTGTGTGTCAAAAAGGCAGAAAAAACACTTATTACCACTACACTTGGCACAAGCTAGCGGAAAAATGATCCCACGCTAGGTTCAAAATATACCTTTTGAAATACCCTGGGGTGTCTACTTTAAGAAATGGTAGGCCTTTGGTGGGTAGTTTGAATTTAAACCCTGCTAAGATGCTTGGAAATTGCACACAGACCCAGCGTCAAAATTCAAAGTTCGGTAAAAACTGATTTGGCTTGGTCTCCTATATGGCACTGTAGCCTCACGAAATAGTGCCAAAGACATTCTTTGGGGTGTCTTTTTACTCAGAGACTTAGCCGAGCTTAATTTGGGGGGTTTGAACTTAGTGGCACATGTGAAATATACAAAATGCCCAGCAAAAAATGCAATCCATGTGTAAAAAACGCACAAAATTATTTTTTACCACATAATTTGGCATATATTGGTGAAAAAATGGGGGCATGTTAAGGCACAATATGCACCTTATGAGATACCCTGGAGTGTCTACTTTTACAAATGGTAGGCCTTTGTGGGTTTTTTTTGAACAGTTAAACTGGTATAATACCCCAAATGGAAGCATAGGCTCATTAAATCCATCTCTCAAAATTCTACTGTGAATACTAAAAAGAACAGGCCTCCTATATGGCACTGTAACTTCACGAAATAGTGCCAAAGACAAACAATGGGGGTGTCATTTTACTCAGCAGATGTAACTGAACACAAAATAAAGCTTTGTACAGGAATAGCACACACCAACTTTACAAAGTACACATGAGAATTTCTTTGTTATAAGTTTGTGTGCCAAAAACCAAAAAAAACCACAATTTTACTCCAATATTTAGCAGAGGTTGGCGGTGAAATGGCTACGTGGAAAGTGTCAAAACAACCCTAAGTAAATAGCCTGGCAATTTTGTTTTCTTTTATGGCTATTTAGCTTACAAGACAAACATTCCAAATTCTAAAATCGCTCCACATTAAAAGTTTATTTTACTCCTTGTGCTTTGTGACCTGTAACTACCAAAAAAAACTTAAACTCCCAGACACATATATATTCTGTAAATCAGAACAACTAAATTAATTTATTTTTACCTGCACTAATTATGCACACATTATTATTGCAAAAACTGTAAACAAAAAACACACAAAAATGTTCATTTATTTTGCATTTTTCTGTATTTTTTTTTATAATAAGCATTTATGTATATATATATATATGTCTTACGTCAAATTAAAGCCCTTTCTGTCCTTTAAAAAACGATATATAATATGTGTCGGTGCAATAAATTAGTAAAATGCAAACTGCAGTTGAAGGCAAACAGCAAAAAATGAAAAAAATGCTGTTGTCATTAAGTGAAAGACAAGCTTCTGAAGCTCTGTCCTTTAAGGGGTTAATATGAAAGAGTTAAATTATGGTTTAGCAGACATATAGCACAAATTTTAAGTTTTGTTTTGTTCTTGTTTTAGTCAGAACTTGTACAATTGCAACTGTCCTTAAGGAGTTAATGATGTAGGTTAAATATTGCTGGGGTTAAATTATGGTTTTAAAGCTATTTATTAAATTTCATATGCTGAAACTATAAGTTTAATAGCAAGCACAGAATCCAAACTTGCTGCACAAAGTCAATATTTGTAGAAAGTAGACTCTCCCAGGGGATTTATCTAAGAGCATTTTGACACTTTTTATTTAATAATTTTATCACCAGCAACTGTCAAAACTGCGGTTTATGTTTGTTTTTTGTGTTCTTTACAATTTTTTTTTTTGTGTGTGTGGAGAATTCAATTCGCAGACAATGCGTGTACCACTAATGAAAAGACACCAGATTAGTATTCTGTTACTGCCTCCAGGCACAGAAATTACCCGAATTTAGCTCTTTGCCAGAGTTTCGAGTCAATTTGCCAGTTTTGATTTACTGGGTCCATGTCATATTTGGGATAAAATTTTCAAAATATCTGCACTTCCCCCCACCACTGTGGCACATCATTGGCAAAAGACCAATGATGTGCCACTTGGGTCCCTTTATTTATTTTTTTTACTAGTCACTTTCATCACCAATTTCTGACTAATACAGCAGTAAGTTATTTTTATATTGTCACTTATATATTGAATTGTAAGCTGAATTTCCATGTATCTTACATCTCACCCACAGATTTGTGCATTGCTGTATCTCCTGAACACAACCAGGCTCTGGGAAATGTATGTGGTCAAATTATACAAAAGTTCCAATTTTGAAATGGCTCTTTGCATGCCTCTCAAAGCATCAAAACATCCATCACCAACTATGTACCTAGAATAGTGATGTCTAAACTTGACACCATAAATTATTTCTGGACTACATTTCCTGTGATGCTCAGCTAGCTTTCAGAGTCTAAAAGCTAGCTAAGCATCATGGGAAATGTAGTCCAGGAACAATTTATGGTGTCAAGGTTAGCCTTCACTGACCAAGAACTACACATAGTGTGTACTAGGAATAAAGACTGCTACCAGTACTGCAACAAGGGCTGTGGTACTGAAAAACATCTCAGAATTCCAATGCCAGAGGCAGGTTCTGGAAACCCTTTCCTGAATGTCTAATATTCTTCTCAGCATGCAGCAATGCACCCACGTCACCAATGATGTGTTTTTGGTGGCATCTCCAACACTTGTTCAAAATGCCAGGATGTAAGCGTGTTGGTACTAAGTATCAGCTATAGAGTATTTCCCTAGTCAGTTCTACATGATTGGTGCATAATGTGAGTTTTTTGTGGGAAGCCAGCAGTATGGCCCAGGCTTTGTCAGAGAGTGTAACTTTCAGGTCTCGCTGCCATGTTTGAATGAATGGTAGTTGGTCCAATTTGAGATCAGTGGTTAGACCAGCGTAAAGTAGTAAGAAAACATTTGCATTCTGTGTCTGTTTGGTAAGAGTTTTCTCAAAACTCGTCAGCTGTTGCCCATGTACATTGGTTATCACAGGAATATAATTTTTAAGTAACCATGCCTTCAATTTGATATAGGAAAAATATGCTACATTAGAAAGGTGATGTTGTTGCTGGAGGTGTGGGAACTCTATAACTTTGTTTCCTTGTAATTGTAGGTAGAGATAACAGATGCTATGTCTTCCCCAAATTCTAGCATTGAAATCTGGAATTACCGATTGTAGGGTTGTGATGGGCATTGCCGGGGAGTATAAGCCATGCAAGCAGTATTTATGTTTGTGTACATTCCAGATATATAATGTAAGTGTTGTTGTGGGGAGCATGGGTACTTTTTTGGTTGATGATGATTGGGGAGCCACATCAGGGATGTAAATAGGTGTCCTTGCGCTATCTTCGATTCTAGGTTCACCCATTGTGGGGGGAGGGATGGGGGGTTTGTTGAGCCTGTGCCGTCGCTAACAGGCTGATGTTAGCTGCTATGTGGTAATGTTTTACATTAGGTGGGCTCATCCCTCCCTTGGTGAAGTGACGGTGGAGGATAGGTGCTGAAACCTGTAGCCTTTTGTTAGCCCAGACAAACTTAATGGCTTGTTGTACTACTGTGAAGAAATGGGTTGGGATCCTAAGTGGGAGGGTCCGAAAGAGATATCTGGTCCGTGAGGGTTATCAGTACTGGGATGTGGTCTGACCACACAATGTCTCCTATAGTGATGTGTGTAGATCTGTGAAGTATGGGGTAAGAGGCAAGAATATAGTCGATACAACAATATTTTTTATGAGCTGGAGAATAATGGGAGTATGTGCGTTCGGATGGGTTAAGTGTTGTCATGTAGGCTAAACTCTGTGATTAGCTTAAGCATAGATTTACACTGAATTTTAAGGGCCTTACTTCTGGATAAGGGAAGTCAGGAGAAGGTATCTAACATGTGGTCCAGGATGTGGTTCAGATCCCTGCAGTTAATAATTTGATCGGTTTGGTTCATATCTAATTTGTGCAAGATCTTATGCAGGAAATTCCTTTGGTTCGTGTTGGGGCTATATACATTTGCTATGACATATATTATGTTGTTAATTTTGCACTTAAGTATGATATATCTGCCTTGGTTGTTACTAACTAGTTTTAGTAATTCAAAAGATATAGATTTATGAATATGGATGGATACCCCTCTGGCTTTTGACATATGGCTTGCGTGGTATTGTGTGGGGTAGTCTTTAATTCTGAATGTTGGAAGTTTCTGTTTGAGTAAATGCATCTCTTGGACACACAGGATATCTGTTCTGCTAGGGTGGTAGCTTGTAGGAGCATCCTGCATTTATGGGGGGTGCTCAACCCTCGCACATTATGTGAGTAGATTCTCATGTGGAGTTCTAAAAGAGGAGACGCTTAAAACAACCCTGTGCTTTGCCTTGTCCCACTCGCTATACAATGTGAGGAACAAATATCCATCTCTGTGTCTAATGGTGGGCTCTTGGGTCAGTCCTGAAATACCCACAGCCTGTAGTGAAGTTGGAGATTGAGGTGGTGGCCACATAGGTATCAATATTTTTTGGGAGTGTCTATACTCTCTGGGAGGGAAGAAGGTAAGGGAACGCATATAAACAGGAGCAGAGAAGACAAATGTGCAAAGTAAACCAAGTAGTAAAGAAAGTATATACAAATTCTCCCCATATAGGGGATTGGTGCAGAACAGATGCACCATGGGGACCCTTGTCCTAATGTGGTGGCGTTATGGTGAAAGCTGTGGAGAACTCTAACTATAACAGAAACTATACTGCAAATCCAGTGTTTTTTTTTTTATGTTTTCTGTCCTCCTAGTGTTATACATATTCATGGCATGCTATCTCGGGTGCTCAGTGCAATAAGCTAGGGTGTCACCAGAACTCGGGCGCCCTATGGTAGAGGTAACATTACCTATACCTTACATGAAGATCTGCCTCCTTTGAGGTGCTTAGGGTATAGCTGGTGTGTTAGATAAGGTAGAATGGGGGAAATTACTACTGAATTCAGACAACAAATTTGAATCACCCGCCCACTTGGCAACTCAGTGTGGGATATACTAAGATGGGATGTCTGTTCCATGTTTTTAATCTAAGTGGTAAGCTTAAATAGACATCAGGCTTGACATCAATTTAGCCAACAGCCCACTTTTGTATTATACACCCATTATACATATAGAATAAGTCAATGCACCCATGTGTCTGCTGTTAAAATATGCATATTATTTTGGTATTATTGCTTTTTATTTATTTGTATGCAATGTCTATTCCATTATATTTGCATATCTAAAATAATTTGAAATTTTCTCAATGGTAATTTGATCTTAATTTTTTTTGTTTTTTTCCCCAGAGAATTCTTACAATATCTGAGGCACTCAAATCTGTATCCATGAGGCCAGAAAAAAAGCAATTTATCTGCTGTCGCATCCTACAGGGATTTCTGAGGACTAAACAGAAAATATTCCCTGCAGCATTCAATTTATTTATATAGGAAAGGCATTCGATCTAATACTTATTAAATAGGTAAGGAACCAATTTGGACTATGAGTTTACTCAATTAAATGCTTTCCTGAAATATAAAAAAATCTATATGCTTAAATGAAAGGGCAACATAATGTCCTGCTTGTTAGTTCCCCTTTCTAAAAGGTGCATATATATAGATGCTTGTAATCCAACCAATCAGAGTGCCCTGACAGGCAAGTCTCAATTATACTTGCGACAGGTCTTAATGGGATTTTAGTTGACCTTTTATGGAGCCAAAAAAAAGAAGTTTGAAGAAAGAATATAACTAATGGTAAGTGTGTATATATATTATATATATTATTTATAGGTATTGCATTAGTTTATCCCCAACACTCTTGTTTGGGTGAGGGAGGTAAGCAGTTTCTATTTTTATTGGTGGCTTGTGAATCCATAGCAACTCAGGGGGTGAACATAATCAAGTCCCTTTTATATTTAACTTCATCATCCACCTGGTGCCCATAGATGGGAGCTGATGGAGGACAATATGTTCCCCCAATTATTGTTAGAGCCTCTACCCACAGCCTATGGATCTTGGCTGTGAAATTATTGAGTTCATTCCTGCTAATCACCCCTTTCATGGATGGCCTGGATATGGAGACATGCTCTAAAAAAGTCTGTGGTAGCACAGGAGGTAACACAAAAAAATAAAAAAGAGGACAGGGATAAGTAAAACTAGAACTCTGTATACAGGATTGTCTCAGACACTGGATCTGAAATGGGGTGCATCAGGGGAATGATCTACTCAGATCCAATGGGGAAAAGCAGGCAATGAAAGTTAATGATCTAGAAGGCAAGCTAGCGGTCAAATATCCATAAGATAAATACAAAAGGGAAAATGGCAAGTAGCAGGCAAAAGAGCGGATGTCCAAGTAAGGAAGAAATAGTACAGGAGAAGAAGACTGTCAATGTACACACTTTAATAGACATGTGCTATTCGTTTTGTTCCAAATGTAGATTCGTATGAATTTCATGCTTTTGGGACATTCGGATACTTACAAATGTCCGAAGTGCTTAAGTCCCGAAGTCCCAAAGTGACAAAGTTCGGTAGTTAGGAAGTGCCAAAGCTCCGAAGTTCAGAAGCTCAGAAATGCTGAAGTGCCGAATTGTCAAAGTGATTCAGATTTCTGAAAAGTGGCAAAACAAGAGAGAGGGAGGGAAAATTATGTGAATGATGACAGGAATCTTGACCAATAAGCTAATTCCTTTTGTGCAATGACATCATATCCTGTACGCATAACCTCACGGCTGCCAGAGGACCCTTAAGGATGTGTAGTACAGTAAGTACTTTGCTCTCTCGCCGCCTGGCATGGAATGTTTGTCCTATGCAGTCTCGCATACTGCGCATAACTGCATCGGACAAACATCCTTAGGCAATTATTATATAGGATATATAAAGTAGACATGTGCAATTCATTTTGTTTCAAATGTACATTCGGATGAATTTCATGCCATTCGGATGCTTACCAAAGTCCGAAGTGCAAAGTTCTGAAGCAACGACGTTCGGCAGTTCCGAAGTGCCGAACCAAACTGAACTGAATACCATTGGTCCGAATTGCCAAAGCAGATACATTTTTTTACTTACCTGAATTTCCGAATCGAACCAAACCACATTTTTTGCCCATGCGCATTCTTACACTTTAAATAGATTTGGTTGGGCAGAGAAGGAAGAAAAGCTTTAGGCACTTAAGACATGTTAGGGAACTGAGCACAGATGAAAAAAATATAGTTTAACATTTTACAAGGATACTTAAAATCTCCTATCTTAGCAAACAAATATTGTGAATCATTTCCACCATATGGACATATCATGTTAAGTCCACCACTACTTCACAGTACCCCATTATCAGTGGGTTCTAGGCGAATTTTAAAATGGAAGATAAGCATGCTAATTGCAATCAATACTTACTGTTTAAACAATTTCTAGAGGCTTCTTAAATTTATAGGACTGATAATGGAATATTGATGGGCTTAACATGATATGGCCTCATGGGTAAACCAAATGCGCAACAAGCTAATGAATAAAGTTACAAACCAACCTGAAATTTAGCACATTCTTAGAAATAGTTTTAGCATTCATTTATTAATGGCCAGTAAAGATGATAAATTAGCAGTCTTTTTTTTTTTTTTTTTTTTTAATGTGCAAAGAAATTGCTAATTTTTTAAAAGCACATTTTCTTTCTAGAAGCTAAAATGAGATTTTATAAAGCAATAATTCATCCCTCAATAAAACAAATTACATTGTAGTGCTTGCATAAAAGAACGGAAAAGAAACACATGACAAATCATGAAATAGTGTCACTGTGTTAGGTAGGGAAGTTTTAAGTATGTTAGGTGCTGCAAAACAATTACCAAGCTGTTCATAAGTAGAAAGCAGCTTGATAACTGCTTTTTTAATTATTACTCTTGAAGTTTTCCTCCTCTCTTACAGGAAAAAACATTAGTAATAATCTCAAATTCAATTAATAAGGATGCCAAATAATAGCAGGGAGAATTGATGAAAGTAGCTTACTGCTGTTACAGAAGTGTATATCAGGTAAAATAATGTTTCTACAGCTGTCATATTCTATTTTATTGCCTTTCACACACCTTTATTCTGTAAAGGTTTTAATATATGGTTTATCTAATCAATTAATCACTTTGTCTACCAAGTATTGTTATACTTAAATGACTTACATTTACAGCAATAAATAAAATAATTATCAGTTCAATAAATGTATTGGGAAGATAAATACAGATAATACTGTTTAGTAAATAGTATTTAGAAAGTGTATTTGTTAAAAATGCACTATCAATTCATACACACAGAATACCATTAATAAAATTAATTTTTACAATGCTTACACAGGATAGTGTTGTAAAAATCACAT